GTTTTCGTTTAACCGACCTTTCCATTATCCCGGTTTTCGTTTAACCGCTCTTTCTATAAACCCGGTTTTCGTTTAATCGGTCTTTCTACTATCCCGGTTTTCGTTTAACCGCTCTTTCTATAAACCAGGTTTTCGTTTAATCGGTCTTTCTATTATCCCGGTTTTCGTTTAACCGCTCTTTCTATAAACCCGGTTTCCGTTTAATCGGTCTTTCTATTATCCCGGTTTCCGTTTAATCGGTCTTTCTATTATCCCGGTTTTCGTTTAACCGGTCTTTCTATTATCCCGATTTTCGTTTAATCGGTCTTTCTATTATCCCGGTTTTCGTTTAACCGCTCTTTCTATAAACCCGGTTTTCGTTTAACCGGTCTTTCTATTATCCCGGTCTTCGTTTAACCGTTTTTCGTCTTAGGCCGATAACTGCCACCGTTGCACCCCTAATTAAATGAGCAGTATCATGATTATTTAAACTCATATATTTTTGAATACCCATCTTTTTTCAATCGTGTAAAGGCGTAAAATACTCATTTTCTCCGCGATTTTACGCTGTAATTTTGGATGTATATTCAAAATCCATTATTCATGAGTACTTTAGGAATATTTTTTTATGTAGCAAAATAATGATATATATACTTCATCTTGAGGGTGGGTGAGGGTGGGTGTGGATGTGGATGTGAGTGGGTGGGTATGAGTATATTAGCCATAACACACCTACACGCATACCCTTAAGTCTCTCAACTTCATACTTAGGTGCTATACTGCCATTAGCAAATGTTTTCAAGAAGGATACACTTGCTATATGTAATCTTAAAAAGAACGACAAAAACTATTTTTCCTGCATTCTCACAGAAATCTTTCGTTCCAAAATAAAGCAAAGTAGATCTTTTAGGGTGTGACTGAGAGTGTGTGTTCCTCAAGATGGTAAATTTTTCCTTCAATAGATGACATCAGATATACTAAGATGTTATCGAAGTAAGCTTTCCTTTGATTTGAACCATACTAGAGATCATTGCGAGTGAAAGACGTAGAGGATAACATTCTCCGCTCTCACCTGAGCGGGAAAAGTTTTAGCAACATTTAATATTTTTGACTATCTTTTGCTAGATTTCGATCAAAAAAAAGTCTGATTTAAGTTAGAAGTCATTATGATATTCTGAATCACTATTGAAAACTGTACCGTTGCGTAAACTTTAGGTCTCCTTTCTCGACTTTTTTTTTCTTTGAAACAATTACCAGTAATTCCCTTAAGAGATCGGTAAAAAAATGAAACACACAGAGAAGTTCGTTTAGTAGTCAGAATTAAATTGTAAAAGTATAAATCGAATAAAGTGTGAATAGATGTGAGTATCGATATATGATTAAAAGAACACATAAACCCACACCCACCTTCAAGATGGTATTTACTTTTCTCTCAGCATTAAATCTGGTCACATTTAAAGTAAAAAGTGACAAAATAAAATGTTGCTTTCATATATTTCTGATGGAGTTGCTAGGAGTCAAAAAACAGTGACGCATTTTCTTAAATTATAATGTTGCAATTATTAGTTGAGGGTGAGTGTGAGTGCGTAGTGATGAATAGTTATGTCACACACACATCTACACCCACATCGTAAGAAATATGATTATTATTAGAAAGAAGTTGCTAACATCAATAAATGTATAGATTAAATCGAACTTATTACGTAACTAAGTGTGACGATAAGTTATTTATCAGATATAAAGTTCATCAATAAAATTCAAAAAAACGAAAATATAAATGAAGATTAGAAATAATAGATTATTTTAATATTTATTATCAATACAGATAAGGATCAAAAGAAGAGTTATGAAATCATTCTTTTGAGACAAATTCAATTAGAGAAGATCATTAGAGATAGTGACAAGTTTTGTCTATTTTGTCATGTTTTCAACATATTCTCTCAAGAAAATATTTCTACAAAAGAGCATTAATAGAATTATTTAACTTATTTAAAATAAACATAAGGAACGTTTTTTGAACTTTACTTTTCCATAATATTTTTCAAAATATAACTTGTAAATGAAGCGTCGATAAACAGGTATTTTTTAATAATGAACATCGGGAATAAAGTGGTTTGTCATTCTATAAATTATCAAGTAACTGAAATATTTCGTCGATTTAAGTAGACACTTTTTTTCATTCTTTTTCATGTAGATTATTTTCGTGTTTGTTATCTTTTTTCTTTGTCACCTATGATATCGGTTTTTTTGAGATATATATTATGATTAAAATAAATTTCGCAACGTAAGCGTAACTATAAGTGTACACTCAGAGTGAATAGAATACTGATTCACATTCTCACTCGTCTCTTTTTACTTTTGATAATATAAATTCTATGGTCTTTTTCGTTCATTTAGTTAGAAATAAGTAGTAGTTTTTCCGCAATATGCCTTGTTCTTTTGTCGAGACTGTCATTCATTTTAAGAAATTATACACATAATAAGGACATAAAATAAATTCATTTTCTAAAATACAACAATTGATGCTGATCAAACTATTTGACAAAACAAGGGTGTAGCTGAAAAAAAATTAATTTGTTTGAGTATGTTATTGAATTATTAATCTCTGATGTACACTTGAGAACGATTACTTATATGTTATTATTCGAATACATATGGTCGGGAGCAATGAATGATTAATATTCTTCACATCTGTATTTATATCAGCTCAGTTGTACAAAAATGATCTGTCATTTGTCAATCATGGCTCTTTTTCAACAACCGCCATGCCATATAACTTCGAGAAATTATTGCAACTTATATATTATTTGGTGAATGATAATTTATTAAGTAATGTGCATGATTAAATAGTTTGATTATTTATCAAGAAAAAATTATGATTCAGTTCACAAAAGAAAATGTCTTTTGGTCTATATTGATTAATAAAGCTCAACACTATTGAGAGCAACACTACCAGTGCCCGCTCCACCGGTAACTAATACTAATCCATTTGCTAATATGGATGCTGTGTGATCAGTTCGTGCGACATTCAGGCTTCTTGTAATTGTCCAAGTGCCTGTTGATGGATTGTACAATTCAGCACTGTTGATAGAATCACTGTCGAGTCCACCAGCAACTAATATTAATCCATTTGCTAATGTGGATGCTGTGTGAAGTCGTCGTGCGGCACTCATACTTCCTGAGGCTGTCCAAGTACCTGTTGATAGATTGTAAAACTCAGCACTATTGGTAGAACCAGTACCACTGTATCCACCAGTAACTAATATGGATCCATTTGCTAATGTGGTTGCTGTGTGCGAAAGTCGTGCGACATTCATATTTCCTGTCATTGTCCAGTTGCCTGTTGATGGATTGTACAACTCAGCAGTATTGACAGGATTACTGCCGTCGGATCCACCAGTAACTAATACGAATCCATTTGCTAATATGGATACTGTGTGCTGATGTCGTTTGACATTCATGCTACCCGTAGTTGTCCAAGTGCCTGTTGATAGATTGTATAATTCCGCACTAGTGAGAAAAGCAGCGTTGCGTCCACCAGCAACTAACAGTAGTCCATCTGCTAATGTGGATACTATGTGTTCATATCGTGCAGTATTTATGCTTCCTGTGGCTGCCCAAGTACCTGTTGATGGATTGTACAATTCAGCACTAGTGAGAGAAACACCAGGGCTGGTCTGTCCACCCGCAACTAATACTAATCCACTTGCTAATATGCATACTGTGTGCAAAGATCGTCCGTCACTCATGCTTCCTGTAGTTGTCCAAGTACCTGTTGATGCATTGTACAACTCCACACTTTTGACATAACTACTACCGTTGTATCCACCAGCAACTAATACTAATCCATTTGATAATGTAAATGCTGTGTGATCTTGTCGTACGACGCTCATGTTTCCTGTCATTATCGATTCTAGATAAGACAGAAAAGTGAGAAAAAAAATGTTGTTCTTAAAATAACTTCGAATCTCTCAGGTGCATAAGTTGTCTATCTATTGATCACAGATTAAAATGATCTCAAACCTTCAAAAACTTCTCTTTGTCTTCACGGCTAAGATAAGATTCATTATAAAATGTTATATACGATTTCCCTGATGTTTTTAGATTTCTACCAATGTCGCGAACTAATGAAACTTAAACACTGTTCTACAATTCAGTTATGATGAATACTTGAATACTGATCGAATTTCAGAATTTGTGTGAAAGTCATTCTAAATTGTTCAACATAGTGAAAACAATATATGCTATCACCATGTTGGATGGGGATGGTGTATGTATGTATCCGGATGTGACTGTGAGTAAGAGAATATAATTCTCGCATCGTTGTCATGAAAAAATCAGTACACTAAGGTTTAATTGACGACGACGAAAGCTGGTTTTCTCGAGTTTGAAGATTCTATTTTATACTTCTACGATATTTTTTTGAATTGTTTAACTCTATACGAATGCAACTTAAAACATGAGATTAGGTGTTGATATATATGTTTCATGTCGATATTATGTCAACTAGTACTTTAACGTGTAGAATTATTCCCCGATCATATTGAGAGTGAGTAGATGTGAATGATTACTAAAATGATCAAGGAGTTAAATCCTATGAAAATATTTTTATCAACCATGTTTTCGTTTAATACTGTTGCACAGGACACGAATATTCAATACTTAGATGAGTATAGAAGAAATCGAGTCATCAAAAACTGGCCATATTTCGACTTCTGATAGTAAATGTTCCCCGATCTTGTCTGTCTAGATGACGATCATTCAATAGCTGAAATCATAACTTTTGGATGTCGTCAGTTGTACTTATTATCGTTTGAGCTACTAAAAATCATTTATCATAGTACTTACGCTGTATTGCTGTTGTTGTCGTCGTCGTTGATGTCGTTTTTGTTGTTGATGTCGTTTTTGTTGTTGATGTTGAAGTTGTCGTAGTCAGTTCTATTTTGAAAAAATGATTTTAAAGTGAGACTAAACGATTAGATACGATTTGATTCTTCTTCTGTAACAATATGTCGACGTTAAATATGAGTTGATTATAATTAAATAGGAAATATTTAAATGATTTCCATTATAGTTGTAACTCTACAATATTTACTTTAGTTATATCTCTATTATAACAATTTTGACAACTCAATTTCTATTTTTATAGTTTTAATAAAAAACGAAACTTTTCGAATTACAGATTGAGTCATCTAAGATTTGTATATTTATTCTTTTCTTGAAATCGTTTATTTTTATGTAAGATGATATTCTGATCAGAAACTAATTCTAACAGAATGAGGAAAGATCACAAAATTGAATGAACTTAGATTGATCTACTTTGTGATTCTCTTCTCAGAATTCTTCATTATTTCAATGTATCTAGTTATACTGTTAAAAGATTCTTTCACAGACAGAAAAAATTTCCACATGACATATTTCGATAATATTCAAAAGTGACAGATTTCCAGTTTTAGTTCAATTTTTCTGCATGATTCTGCGAAGTGCAATACTAACCTCAAATTACTTGTGACCATCAACTTAATCAAGAAAATACTGTAATTTCTTCTTTATTTCCTAAGGATCTCTCGAATGCGTTATAGTTCTATCGAATTCTGATAAAAAGTTATTTAACAGACATCGATATTTTGTATAGATTAATGAATATGAAAAGCATTATATCCATAGACGTTTTTGATGGGATATTGATTTCATTTTTTCTTCATTATTTTTTTAATATTCAATGGTATTGATTGTTTAGTTACAAGAGTTAAAGAGATTTCGTTTTATTAAGATATTTTCAAACTCAAATTCGAAAAATAAATCTCGAAAGAGACCTTTTAGTTCAAAAAACAATTGATTCTGAAAAGCCTTTGGTTGAATGTTCTTTTTCTGTCATTTCGAGCCGAACCGATAGGTGATTTACATGCGGATGTGTTTAATATCGCTGTCAAGTTTTCTTAACTCTCGATAACTTGAAATTATTTTTCAAGAAATTAAATTTTTTCAACCTATGTAAAACAAGTGGTGAAAATTATGATTTTCATGAGAAATTCATTGAGAAATTGATTTAAATGTCACGATTTTCATAGCTTGGTAATCAATTAAGTTAAAGGAATCAATTAAAATCGATTAAATTGTTATATAAAATCGATTAAAATGGATTTTTTTTCACCAAAAAATTAAATATCATTTGATTTTAATCGATTTTGTACAGCAGTTCAAACAGATTTTAATTGATTACTTTAACTTAATTGATTACCAAGCTATGAAAATCGCGACATTTAAATCGATTTCTCATAAAAATCATGATTTTTACAGCTGATTATATGGGTCGCTCTCAGCGATATATTTTTCGTTAAATCTCTTCTATTTTCATACTGACCTGGTGGAAATCGTGTTCCACTAATAACATTCATACTAGTAGCATCCACATCAGCCAACATATTTCCATTTTGGTTCAACATACTGTCAAATAATTCACAATTTGAAGTCGATCGATGAAAAGTTGCTGCCCTGCATTGACTTTGACCTAAACAGGCAAATTGACAATTCCTAATGTCTGTTGTAATAACCCTAATGAATGGTAAACAGGTTGTATTTGCACATTGAAATTTAGAATCAGGTATTATAGACATTTCCTCTGATCGTATATCTTCTCCAACTATTTGTGTGATAATCATGAATGAAAGCCATAAATAAACTGTTGTTGAAGCCATCAAACACCAGATTCTAAGTTAATCAAATGAATTCAATTTACAATAGTAGATAACGTATTTATTGAGAAATAAATTCTTTTTTTTTCTCTCTTTTGAGTGGGTGGTGCATAGTTTTTTCCCATAATTTATTTCTTCAATCTAACGGAGAAACAGTCCCGACGTCCTTTTTCCGGAATTCATGGCATCATTTTAACCAAACAAGAGTAGTCAGGTCTTTTTTATTCCCAAAAAAAAACTGTCTACTCGGAGAGCTGACTTTACTACGTGTGTAAATATTATTAGAAGACAAATATATTTATAAATAGCGCTTTTGAGTTATATGGAAAAAAAATAAAGAACGATCAATGTAACAAAATTGAATTCGAAAAGGAAATATAATCAACATTCAGCTTCAGATGAAATTGTATAGAAAAACAAAAATAATTTAATTGGAATTTATTTATATATTCAGACCCGAATACTACAAATGTATCTCCTCGATTATACAATATATCAGTGTAAC